CCAGCCTCCGCGTTCGGTTGCATCACCCTGTTTGATAACGCTTTCCTCTGCACGAGAGAGTCAACGGCAAACAAAGTTCTGTCCTGTTCATATTTTCCAGCGCAGCGTGGTCGTGTGCCGGCAACCCACTGCACTAATTTTCCAGAGAGGTCTTTATGTATCTAGAACACTTAGGCAACCTCCAAACTCCTCTTGGTCTCGAACCCCAACATTTAAATGAGGCTTTACAATGAACCTCAAAGGCTTCCCTCTAATTACCTCATCATATGGCCCGCTAATCACCTGAGTGCCTGAGGGACACCCGGCCGGGGGTATACAAGCAATCAGTGCCTTGCTGGCATGCATGGGAGGAAGGTAAAGCTATTGGCGGTTGCGAGAGATTGATCCCTATTGTCCCTCGCCCTAAGGTTCGTTTCTGCGTGTCCATTCTGCGTGGTAAGAGGCCCAATTAATTCACATGGGCGCGAGCATTTATCGCATTAACTGCTAATCAATAGCGCTCTCGATAAAGACAAGAATCTTCCCCGCGTTCCTGAAAGTGCTGAAGCGTGTGGCAGATTCCTCGCGCCGAATCCCAGCGACGCGAGCCTCCCACGCGCCTCCCCGCCTCCCGCCTCCCCCGCCACAAAGGAAATAACATTAACGCAATATTCCAAGCACTGCAACCCACTCATTCAATCAAAGGCAAAGCACGTCCACGCGAGCAGGAGGCGTGCAAGCGGATCAGCAACGATAAGCGATCGGGGGATTCTCGCTTCTGCACCCGCGCGACACGACAAAGGGGCTGGACGAACGGCTGCATGGGACCTCGCGAGCAACAATTATGGTCCATTTGTTGAGACCTGGGGTTAGGTGAGCTGCGTGAAGAGGTGGGGCTGAGGGGCTAATGTGGGATATGTTTAGACTAAATAGATTTGTGGCTGAGACGACACCGCCACCTTGTCTTCGGCCTTAAGACGGACTCGAGCTGTTACTTCATCTTGCCTGCCTGACTGCGTCGTCGTCGCGGGTGTGGCTTGAGAAATAATATGCTGGAGGACACCTCTCTCTCTCTCTCTCTCTCTCTCTCTCTCTCTCTCTCTCTCTCTCTTCTTCTCTTCTCTCTCTCTCTCTCTCTCTCTCTTACTCTCTCTCTCTCTCTTTGTGTGTGTGTGTGTGTGGTGTGTGTGTGTGTGTGTGTGTGTGTGTGTGTGTGTTGTGTGTGTGTGTGTGTGTGTGTGTGTGTGTGATAACGAAAAAGTAAGGGGAAGGGAGAGAGAAAAAAATAAAAATGAAAAAGAAACAGAGAAGAGGGGGAAGAGAGAAATGAGAAGAGAGGAGAGGAGATAAAGAGAAAGAAAGAGACACACCCGCAACACACACACAAAAAAATGAAAAACACAAAGAGAGAAAAAAAACAGCTAAATCAAATACAAGCCCGAGACCCAAACACAAACACACAGATCCAAACAAAACACAACGCACAGACGAACCAACGCACGAACCCACACTGCTAGACCCGAGGCGATCAAAGCAAGGCTGGGCTAGAATGGTAGGCCGGCTGAGGACAGGTGCCGCTGCCCAGTCTGGCGTGTGCAAGCAGTGGGCAAGGAACGGCTCACGTCAACTTCACAAAGTCCTTCCCACACACACACACAGGCCCAACATCAATGCTTACTGGCCGCTGTCCTTCTGGAAATGGTGGCAGCAGGAATCCTTGTAAAACCTCCTGAATCCTTGTCCGAATCCTTGTCTGACCTTGTCCGAAATCCTTGTCTGAATCCTTGTCCGAATCCATGTCCGAGATAACAACGCGAGAAAACGAGACGAAAAGAAACCCTTTCAATAACATGTCTCTGAATGGAGATTTTAGTACGTAGTATTCTCATTTTATGAAAAAAACATTGGGTGAAATTTAAAAAAAAATAAATAAAAGGGTTTGACTATATTTCGTATTTTGAATCGTTGCGCGTTAAAAGAAAATCAATTAATAATAATAATAATACGCGCCGTATCTGAGTATAAGTATTTTGGTTCCTGATAGTGTTTGTATCTATTTTTCAACTAAGTAACACAAGACATCTAACTAACATCATACGAAGGAAAAACTATATATAACCATATGCTCATAATCTTTCCTTCTTCCATCTAACCAAATCCTTCCCACACACACACACACCACACACACACACACACCACACACACACACACACACACACACACACACACACACCACACACCACACACACACACACACAATAATAGTAATAATAATAAAATAATAATAATAATAATAATAATAATAACACTGTGAACGAAAGGGAAAATGGGAAAAAAATCTTAGACTGTTTCATTTTTCCCAAAGAATATCAGAAAACTACAACACCGTATCAAGCCTGTAATCTATCTACCGTTGGACTTAAAAGAATCCTACGTTCTAAACATCTCACGACCTTATGTTAAATTTACCTAGATTCTAAACAAAACAGTAAACTCCTTTAAACAAGCACTAATTACCTGCCAGTCAACTTAATTAATAGAAAGGGTTAAATTATGTTCTTGCACTCTCGCTTGCAAGAAGTTGCAGATTCTCTTGAGCAGATGCACCACTTGGGACACGACCTTTGAGGGGGAAGGGAGGAGGGAAGGGGTTACACCTCCCCTAGTAGCTCTCTCTCTCTCTCTCTCCTCTCTCTCTCCCTCTCTCTCTCTCTCTCTCTCTCTCTCCTCTCTCTCTCCCTCTTCCCTCTCTCCTCTCTCTCTCCTCTCTCTCTCCCTCCCCCTCTCTTCCCCCTCCTCTCTCTCCCCTCCCTCTTCTCCCTCTCCCTCTCTCCTCTCTCCCCTCTCCTCTCTCTCCCTCTCCTCTCTCCTCTCCTCTCTTCCTCTCCTCTCTTCCCTCTCCTCTCCTTCCCTCTCCTCTCCTCTCTTGCTCCCTCTTCCCTTCTCCTCTCTCTCCCTCTCCCTGCTCTCCCTCTCCTTTCTCCCCCCCTTTCCCTTTCTCCTCTCTCCCTCTCCTCTCTTTCTCCTCTCTCCCCTCTCCTTTCTCCTCTCTCCTTCTCCTCTCTCCCGTCTCCTTTCTCCTCTCTCCTCTCCCTCTTCTTCCCTGCTCTCCTCCTCTCCTTTCTCCTCTCTCCCTCTCCCCTCTCTCCCCTCTCCTTTTCCTCTCTCCCCTCTCCTTCTCCCTCTCTCTCCCTTTCTCCCCTCTCTCCTCTCTCCCCTCTCCCCTCTCCTTTCTCCTCTCTCCCCTCTCCTTTCTCCTCTCTCCTTCTCTTTCCCTCTCTCCCTCTCCTTCTCCTCTCTCCCCTCTCCCTCTTCTCCCCTCTCTTCCTTTCTCCTCCTCTCCTCTCCTTTCTCCTCTCTCCCCTCTCCTTTCTCCTCTCTGCCCCTCTCCTTTCTTCTCCTCTCTCCCCTCTCCTTTCTCCTTTCTCCCTCTCCTTCCCTCTCCCCCCTCTCTCCTTTCTCCTCTCTCCCACTCCCTCCTCCGCTCTCTCCATCCCTCCTTCCTTCCTTCCTTCCTTCCTCCTCCCTCCCTCCCTCCCTCCCTCCCCCTCCCTCCCTCTCTTCTCTCTCTCTCTCTCTCTCTTCTCTCTCTCTCTCTCTCTCTCTCTCTCTCTCTCTCTCTCTCTCTCTCCCCCGCTCCTCCCTCCTGGTCTCCCTCTCTCCCTCTCCCCTATCCCTCTCTCCCTAGCCCTCCGCTCTCTCCCTATCCCTCCCTCCCTCCCTCTCCTCTCCCTCTCCCCACCTCTCTCTCCCTCCCTCTCCTATCCCTCCTCTATCAATCCTATCCCTCGTATCCGGCTCCCTCTCTCGCCTCCTCCCTCCTCCCTCTCTCCCTATCCCTCTCTCCCTCCCTATCCCTCTCCCTCTCTCTCGTGTACGGAGAACAAACAACCTTACCCCGTAGCGGGCAGCATCAGCCAGAAATCAGCTTAATTAAGAATCTTTCTGCTTCCTCTCCCCTTTTTCTAGTTGGGGAGTGAGGGAGGGAGTGAGCGATGGTGGGAGGGAAAGAAGGAAGGTAAGGGAAGGGGAGGGGAGGGAAAAGGGAGGTGAGGGAGGAGGGAGGGAGAGGAGGAAGGAGGGAGTGAGCATGGTGGGAGGAGAGGGGGAAGGTAAGGGTAGGTAAGAAGGTAGAGGGAGGGAGGGAGGAGGGAGGGAGTGAGCGAGGAGTGAGAGTGGGAAGGTAATGGGAAGTAGGAGAGGAAGGGAGGAGTGAGGAGGGAGGGAGGGAGGAAGGGAGGGAGGGAGGGAGGGGAGGGAGGGAGGGAGGGAAGGAGAGAAGGAGATGAGGAGAGAGAAAGAGAGAAGAGAGAGAGAGAGAGAGAGAGAAGGAGAGAGAGAGAGAGAGAGAGAGAGAGAGAGAGAGAGAGAGAGAGAGAGAGAGAGAGAGAGAAGAGAGAGAGAGAGAGAGAGAGAGAGAGAGAGAGAGAGAGAGAGAGAGAGAGAAGAGAGAGAGAGAGAGAGAGAGAGAGAGAGAGAGATACGGAAATATGAGCGCTATCTTCCTGTGTTCGTTGGTCACTTCCATGAGATGATTAGAATAAATATAGAATAAAATGAAGCAAAAAAATGAATTGTTTTTATAAAGATGATTATGAAAAAACATATCAATAATAATGATAATACTGACAGTTTTTACTATCATCATTATCACTATCGTTAATTTCATTTTTATTATTAACATTATCATTATCATTAATTATTCGCCATTGTTATTATTGTCATTATCAATATTATCATTATATAAACAACAACATTGATAAAAATGATAATTATTATATCATATTGTTATTTATTTTATATTATTATCATTCATTAGACATAATATTAATGAAAGATGATAATAATAGAATAATAATAATAACTAATGAAGGAAAAATGAAAATAGTATTTATAAGCTCTAACATTCCAGGAAAAATTCTACCATTAATCTGCAAAATCGCCGAAGCCCAAAGTCGCGCCATGCTTTTAAACATTCAAATTTCGCGCCAACTCCTGCGTCGCGCGGCCATCACACTCAC